ATGAAAATGGAGATTTCATGTAACTAAAGTTTAAATAGAGGATTTGAACTCAAGAATGTAAAGTTATGGGATTATATTTGAATTCAAGAGTTTGATTTATTTTGCATGAAAGAATGAGTTTAATTTGATATTTAGAACCTTATAAGAATTCAATTAAAAATCTGATTTAGGTTTGTAAAATTAGATATAGTCAAATTAAGTCTTAATTGAGAATTAATTAAATTCAATTGAAATTGAGTTAGGCTTAAAGATTATGAAAATAACTGTGAAGATTAATTATTTGAGCCTTGATTTGCTTGAAAATGGAGTTGAAATTGCAAAATTTACAAATTTATGAGTTTTTGATTCAGTAATTTAAACATGACTGAACAATTGTAATTAATATATATGATCCTAATTTAAGTTTAATTGTGTAATTAGTGACCGTCATAAGGGTTTGTATATGATTCGATTATTTATATTTAATTAGTTTGGGTAATACATAGCTAAACATATTTTAATTGGAGATTAATAATCTAATTAATTCCTAATACTAGTCATCCATATTTAAGATGAATGGAAAGAAGAAAATATAGGAATAATTGAATAAAAATTAGAATCAAATGAGAGAAACAGAAAAACAAACAAGTAACTGAATTAAATAGATTGTAAGAGTGTAATTGTAATCGTGTTGTGCTTGACTTATTTGTTTAAGTCGGACGTCGAACAATTAGCATGCATTTTTCAGGAGCCCATGTGAGTAACACTGTTATAAAGATATGTTCAATCGTATTTATTTTCTGATTGATGAATTATATTGTTTTCTGAAATGATACTTTTTATCGATTGAATGATAATCCTATTTTCTAAACTATATTCGTAACATCCTTAGCATATTGCTATTGTTATTGATATTATTATTGCTGTTGTTACAGAGATCTCTGTCAGTTCTAATTATTGAAACTATTGTCTATTGTTTAATGGCCATCAATTGATTGTTCAGTCTTTAAGACCTATTGTATTGTTGCTATTGGATGTATCACGTATGACTTGTACGAATACGATTGATTGAATTGAACGATTGAACGATTAATTGAGTAAAAGATATTGATTGAACATGTTTTATTAATAATTAATTGTTTCAAATACTGTAAGGATATCATTCTTAACCTCTTTACACAACTGTTATTCACTGGGCTCTAACTCACTGTTTACTATATATATATGCAGGTGATCGAGCACCGGATCAAGCTAGTGGCGATGACCCGAACCCTTGTATTGTCAAGCCAACTATTGTGCCTCACTGCGAGGTTCCGAACCGTTATTGTTAAGGCTTTTTGGGTGATTTAATTCCACCATTTTTACATGTTATGAAGTCAAGTGTGTTCTTTACAATTTGTTTTGGCTCTGGGATTTAATTCCCTAACATGTCTTTTATTTTGTACTTAGATTTGTTTTGGACTTAAGTATTTATATATGTGTTTGGATATGGACTTGGACTTATGTGTGTATCGACATGTATATATAGAAGTTGTTTGTTCATTTAAGTCCTCACAGTTCTTTGGACATTATGATTTAATATTTACAAGCTTCTGCCGGCTTCTGTTATTGTATAATTGTTATTATTGTTAAGCAGACATTTGGTAATCACAGATTATTAGCCGATTACGATGCTAAACCCTTAGAGGCGGGTTTGGGTCGTAACAAAAACTACTCAGTGTACTTTTCTCAAACATGACAACGCGACGGGTATGAAGTAGCACTGTAAAAAGAATTAAAAACTCTTTAGTGTACTTTTCTTAAACGTGACATGTGACACTCAAACGTGACATGTAACACTCCAACGTGACGGATATGATGTGACACTCCAAAAACATTAAAAAGTCTTTAGTGTACTTTTTCCAAATATAATACTCCCATGTGGTGGGCAAATGATTCATTACATATCTAAAAGGACTAAATGAATCACAAGAAAAAATATAGGACTATATAGATTGCAAGTCCAAAATACATGACTTATCCGTCACACCAAGGATCCTCTAGAGTGAAATTTCCCTAAAGTTTCATAGAGTGCTCCATTGTGTGGTTGAGATTCACTGGCAAGTCACATCAGAAAAATTGATGTGACTTGCCAATAAATCTCAACCACACAATGGAGCACTCTAGGAAACTTTAGGAAAAAATCACTCTAGAGGATCCTTGCTCGTTTGGTCAATCTCCCTTCATTGTTATACTATTTAGTTATAATATAGGAGTATAATAATTAATATTTATAATCAATTGGTAGTTTGTTTCGAGTTAATATACAAATTAGGCCTATTTTGAAAAGTAAGTTAAAAATTAATTTTTAAATTTTTTATTTTTAAAAAAAAAGATAAATTACAAATACACCCCCTAAGGTTTGCTTAAAATACAAATTGCTCCCTATGGTTTGAAAAATTACAAATACCTCCCTGTCAGAATTTTTTATTTAACAGAATTAATTGAAAGCGTGAAATTTCTAACTGTTCACCTATGCAATAATAAAATTATCTGAATCATTAATTGAAATAAAATTTTAACATTATTAAAAACTGTTAATTAACTTGATGATTTATTAATAAAATGATCTATTTGTTATGAAATCAAAAACCTTAAGAGACATAATGTAATTTCTAGGCATAATGTAATTTCTAAAACCACATAGAATAATTTTAAATTTAAGTAAATCTCAGGGGGTATGTTTGTAATTTACCCATGTGGTGGGCAAATGATTCATTACATATCTAAAAGGACTAAATGAATCACAAGAAAAAATATAGGACTATATAGATTACAAGTCCAAAATACATGACTTATTGGTCAATCTCCCTTCATTATTATACTATTTAGTTATAATATAGGAGTATAATAATTAATATTTATAATCAATTAGTAGTTTGTTTCGAGTTAATATACAAATTAGGCCTATTTTAAAAAGTAAGTTAAAAATTAATTTTTTAATTTTTAATTTTTTAAAAAAAAGTAAATTACAAATACATCCCCTAAGGTTTGCTTAAAATACAAATTGCTCCCTATGGTTTGAAAAATTACAAATACCTCCCTGTCAGAATTTTTTATTTAACAGAATTAATTGAAAGCGTGAAATTTCTAACTGTTCACCTATGCAATAATAAAATTATCTGAATCATTAATTGAAATAAAATTTTAACATTATTAAAAACTGTTAATTAACTTGATGATTTATTAATAAAATGATCTATTTGTTATGAAATCAAAAACCCTAAGGGACATAATGTAATTTCTAGGCATAATGTAATTTCTAAAACCACATAGAATAATTTTTAATTTAAGTAAATCTCAGGGGGTATGTTTGTAATTTATCCTAAAAAAACGTGTAAAAAAAATAGGGAGCTAATGCGACTCAAAAAAAATTAAAAAGCCGACTTTTAACCTAGTCGCCAAAAAGGCCCAAATCTGCTGATAGTAGCATAGAAGCTTCTAGCGCACCCACGTGATACCTATTACAGGGTCTACCACCTATTGCTGCATCTCCCCAACCAAATCTGTCCACATTAGGATTACTCGTTAATGGTTGATCAAATTTGATGAATTCACCTTCTGAAACAAGAACTTCTGGTCCTTGAGAGCTAATATCAACCCCTTAACGTCCATGCGATGCATCTGCGTATCCCGTCTTTTCTTTTCGTATGATTTTACTTAACGTACCAGCTGCACCACCCTAGAAATATGCTAGTAGCACGGTGAGCATATTAATGTAAGGTCTATTTTGAAAAAAGAAAAGCAAAAAGATGCTTTCTGGTTAGTGAAGGCTTCCACTCTATCTATATCCTTTGCCCTTTCACCCGGATCGGTTGCTACCTTCTCTCTTCTAAAGGTGATGGCTTTGCTAGCACTATCTGATTTTCTCATTTCTATCGAAGGTACGCCGGGATCTTCCTTTCATCGGTGGCTTGCTGCTTTCTTGTCGGCACCTTCCCTCAGGTCAATTCAGTAGTAGATGGCTTCCGTACCCAACTTTAGAGAGGGTACGAAAAGGTGATAAAAATAAACACTTTTAACATTGTAGTTAAATTTATATTAAATATTTTTAGCTAAAAACAAAAAGATAAAAATAAGATATAATTTTATATTAAAAATAAAATTTAGAGAGTTAATAAGTGTGCTAATAATATAATGTATATGTATATTACGTAACAGTAGTGCTAGAGGCCTCGAATTTGCCTCGAATGCGTTTTTTTTTTTTTTTTTGGGAGAGGGGGGGGTTGTTTTGTGGGTTACTTTTTTTGTTTTATTTTGTTTTTTTTAGGATGGTTATGTGTAGGGATATACCCAAAAAATTAAACATTTCGTACCAACTCATCGTATAAAATTATATGAAATTAATAACTGATCAGTCAATTTTATCACTCAACCAGTCCTACCTAATTGATTGATCAGTTAAACTGCTGGTTAAAATTTGTTAATTCCATACAATTTTGTACGATAAGTTGGTGCAGAATGTCTAATTTTTTGGTACACTTTTACACATGACTACCTTTAAAAAAAATAAAAATAAAAATAAAAAAACCAAACTAACACAGCCCAATAGATAAAATAAAATTAAATTAAATTAAAAAAATTAATCAGTCAATTTTATCATCCAATCAGTTCAACCTAACTCACTTGCAGAATGTCTAGTTTTTTAACACATCCCTATACATAAACTACCCTTGCAAAAAGAAAAGAAAAAAAAAAATTCAAAGCAAATTCGAGACCTCAGGCATTTTCCATTATGTAAAGTTAAAAAACAAACAAAAAATTATTAAAAATATTATCATCCTCACCCCTTCTCTCTCTCTCTGTTACTCTTCCCCTCCTCTTCTCTCTCCTGACCTATTAATAATACTATGCATCAAAATTGTCCCTCTCCCATCCCTCCCTCCATCCAAACCTCGTGTTTATCAAACTATTTTTCACAGTTCTTACCCCAAAAAACCTATTCTCCACAGTTATCAATAATGTTTTGCACGTAACTATTAAAAAGATTGTTACATTCCTAATTTTTGTCACCATTAAAAACAAAAATCCAAAAAATCTCCCACGAATCAAATAAAATCCTTTTACATCATCATTAGTCTTATTCCAAATAAAAACCAATAACAAAAAAGTGGGGCCTACTGATGTGCGTATTGACTTTACATTCTATCTTCTCTCCTCCGAGGGGCACATGTTATGAATTCATCCACTCTCAGAATCATCTCAGCAGTCCGTGGCTGACAACAACACTGCCTGCTTCACTTTGAATGCTTCGCATATCCCAAGTTCCTCCATATCTCCTACCTCTAAAAATAATTAACCCCCCGATGTCACATGCCACCAAATGGCCAGAAATTTATGACAGCTGCCTGGAAAAGATAAATGTAGCTCAAACAGACAGACACCCCCACCCGTCAAAGATATGAAGGAATTTATCATATGAAAAATGTTTCAGACCCACTAATTGACCACTAATGACATGGTATTCCGTGAATCTCACTATTGATGTGATAATTGAATGATGATAGAGTGCTCTAAATTGAGCTCTACTTATGTGACAATGAAAAGAAGAAAAAAAAAAAGCGATCAAAACATCACATCAATGGTGGACCCCACTCATTAGAGCTCCTTTACAGCTCTCGGTTTAGAGCTATCAAACATTTTTGGTGATAGTTTGGCCTTTGTTTTTTTGTTTTTTTTGCACTGCCAACTCATTAGAGCTAACATTAGTGCTACCAAATTAGAGTACTGAATCAGTGTTGTTTATCATATAAGACGTATTCAAAAGTGTCAATGAAGTGACCGACATTATAAATTTGATTTTTTAATTAAGACATAATGAAAAAGTAGTCCTCTCCAGAACTGTTCGTGCTTCTTAGCCAAGAAGCTAAAGCATGAGAGATTACACATGCATAATGCATTCATCTATTCTATAATTTAAACTGTATTACTTACAGATCCAGAAATAACATCAAGCCCTGCATTGCTTCCTTCCTTGTGGTGCTCTTCTCGGAACTGGGCAACCAACTCAGCACTGTCCAAACCAGCATTGTCAGCAATGATTGTTGGAATGGCTACGAGTGCCCGTGAGAAAGCTTCCATAGCATGAGATTTCTTCCCAGGAGTCTTCCGGGCCAGTTCGTCTACTGCCTTTGCCATGACCATCTCAGGCTATCCACCACCAAGCAAAACCCTGCTGTCATTTACCGTCTGAGACAACACACACAAGGCATCATGCAGAGACCTTTCAGCTTCATCAAGGACGTGATTACCGCCAAAATTAGTGAAAAACACAAACATCAAAATCTAACACCGACATCAGTGATAAATCACCGGTATTCTAAATTCCCCAAAAGCAACAAAAGATACATTGTCAAGAAAACCCATGTTATCTTAGCCCAAGTCTAGTGCTCCCACATGCCCAATCGTTAAAGTGAAATGACAGTCAGCTGAGAAATTAGTTTAGTTAACATTTAAATATGTTTGTGAGGTTCAATCTTTAAACCGAAGTAACTAACAACACAAGTAGGATCACAAAATTGCACTCTCTCTCATATTATGATTTAAGTTAAGAGATGGCAAGAGTGTGAAACGATCACAACAGTACAAGAAAAACCAAAGAGAATTACATAAAGCTGCCAAATAATGTACCTACCTTGCACCTCGCAATACTATTGTGCATGCCTGACCCATTTCCACGCCAGAAAAGTGGATCAATTTGTCCTCACCAATCATAATTTCCTCAATGAGCTTGCAAAGGTTGATGCAATCTCACCACCAGTAACTAGTGCCAGGTGCTCAATCCCATCGAAATCAGCATGTTCAATTGCAAGTATTCCTGCATCGGCAAAGAGTTCCTCTAGAAAATTGTAGATTAACTGTCGGTTAACAAAGCAGTTTATCCCAAGAGCTATAATCTTTTGCACCTTCTCCCTCGTCTGTTCCTTCTCAGCCCCTTCAATCTCAGCAACCCTAGACATTGAATCAACGCGAACACAGGCACCATAAATTTTTACTTTATCTGCGTCCATTGCAGTATTTGCCACCAAGATCTTCGCATTTTCAATGTGTTTCGGTCCAATACCTATTCTCTTGTCTAGAATGAATTTGCCAGAGAACAAAATACCAATTACACTAGAAAACATTAAGCAGAACAAGCTCAAAATATCATATAGAAGAAAATAAGATGAAGTAAAGGATAACTGAACCTTCTTTTGGTTGCTAACAAAAAGAGAAGGAAAGGCAAATGTAATTTGAACTCTGGAATTGTTTTTTTCCCTTGTGTATTCACAAAAAGTGAACTTGGTGGCACAAAGCTTGAGAGGATACTGGACCTTCTTGGCAATTCCTCCACAAACACAAAACCCTGTCAGTTATGTTGAAATAAAACTCATTTTTGGTGCATGACACCACACACACACACGCACATACACACAGGGTTTCAGCCTTCTGCCCTCGGAATGGGAGCATGCTTAATATTCACATTTTTCTAGATGAAAATTATACTATCTGGATTTTTTTATTTTCTTTTTGAGGTATAAAAGTCATACTAACTAGTAGCCGCAGCAGAAGATAACCAACTCAACAAAACCAAAGTGAGACTGAGTTGAGCAGACGTTTCTATGTGCCGAAACCTCAAAATATGCAAATTTTAACATTCAAAATAATCACTAGCTTTTCTCAGAAACCAAAAGAGGTTTGGGCAAAGCTGTCTATGTAGTTGTAGACATGTCAAAAGAATGATACAAGGACTAAGAGTTTGAGAAATGTCAAAGAAAGCATAAACATACAGGAAGGAACTCATCAGCCAAAAGTTGGTAAAAGCAAGGCCCCATCTATATTAGGTATGAAAGCAATGCTAGCTAAATCACATCAAATGAATTTCACAAGTTAAGATACCCACCCCTCATCTAAAAATGAATCCTTTAGTGATCCTCCAGGATTCTTAATAATCTTAATGGCCTCCAAGTTTGTGCTGCCCTGCCATTTCCATGAAAATGATCAGCACAACAACAAAGGTGTGCGGGGAGCAAATATTCCGGCAAGCCCGTACTCCTTTCTTCCGAGCTCCGTCGATGTCCGATCACCTGCGAGCAAGCAACGGTGAGCTACCCGGCAGTGTGTGGCCGGAAAAACCCTCCGACGGTCAAGTTAGCACACACCTTAGGATGAATAGAGAGAAGGGAGAGAGTGTTTGAGTGTAAGAATTTCTTACAGAGATGTTCGTGTGTCCCGTATGGGGGGCGCAGACATGCGTATATACCCTCTGCGCCCCATATCCACTCCAGTCATCTCCTGACACGTGGCTCCGCTATCCCATCTGTCAGCATAAACCGTGCCAATTATCACCTAATCTCAACTGCCTGTCATCACAGCTGGAGCTCGGCAGCCGAGCTGCCGTATGCGTTGCTGCGCCGTGCCGTGCTTCATACCCAAGCACTTCCCTGGCAAAGTCCAAGGGGGGACCGGGCTAGGCGGCATCTCGGCAAAGCCTAGCCCGAAGCACCCCGTGGTCAGCTTTCATGTCGGTCAAACGGTAACCTCGGCCGACCGCGCCATTCCGGGCGCCGGTCACTCGGCTTGTCTGGCTTCGGCTATCCTCGGACCGAGCAACTGAGTCCGACCGAGCACTGCCTTGCTGGCTGCTTCTTTAAGTAATACAAACAACATGTTAGTCAAATGTTGTACTGAAAATAAAACGGTAAGATAAAAGTTATCATTGAATACATAACCAAATATATAAAAAGCATTCCAATTATAGTTAACAAAATACGAGTGCTTGCACACAAAAGAAGCAATAATTAAGTCTATCAATAAGTTTATAATAGACTTAACAAAAAGCATTCCCTACCATGAATATCAAATCATGGCCAAAAGGAAAACACTCATATGAAATGCAACAAGTTTATTATGGAGCATGCTTACTTAGCAACCCCATCACCCACTTTAGCCTATCATCATGTGTCAAGCTGAAGAACATAGCAAGCTTTTGGACATCGTCGAATATGATTTCACAAGCATCTAACCTTTCATCTACAGTAATTGACAACCATTTAGTGATGCTCGTTTAGATGCATCATTTAGTGATGCTCGTTTAGATGCAAGATCATGTTAATACCCCATTCTTTTTCCAATGAATTCTAGCTTATCAGTGGTTGTTCCCAAGACATCCACTAACTTATCAGCAAACATGGTCAGCCCTTCAACTACTTCATCATTGGCTCTAGGTCTTTTCTTCTCTTTCTTTTTGGCAGAATTATCAGAAGGCCATTGAGTTGCTGAGTTTGAATAGTCTATTGCTTCACTGGTCTGACTATTTAATCCCATTTTTTTTACAGAAAAGTATTATTATTTGCAAGACCATGCAACAACACATCTTCCTCAGCATTTATAGTCTCAATTGCATTAGCAGCTCCTTCAGTAAACTCTTCTGTAACTCGATCCTTGCCAAATATTTGAATCCATTCACCGAAATGTCGGAAAGTTTTGTTCCTCGGGTGTTTTGCATCGTTGTCTCTCTACAATGACCAACTAATCCTAATTAATATCTACAACATAAGGTTAAAATACATATACAATAGTACGTAAATAACTAAAAGGAGATAACTTTACCCAACATATGCCTTCCATACACTATCACTCTCTACGTCAGTATCAGTCCATCCAAACCCACTAGTAGCAAGCATACTAGACAATTGCTTCTTCCATATTTTAATCTTTGATTCGATATGGGGAGAGCCACGTAAATCTGTTATCGGTAACAACTCTGCCATTTTATTCTCCAATTTCATAAGATAGCCTGCCTTGAAAGAATTGTCAACTTTCATTCCATCATCCACAACGAACAACAAGGCTGAATTAGACAGTCTTCTTCACGTGGGCTCCATATTCGCTTTTGTTTTAATGAATCAACCTTGTCATTCTTTTTCTTACGAGAATTGGATACCTTATTATCCATACCTATAGTAATAATTGAACATTTCATATACATTATCATAAAATATAAATAACTCACAAACATATATATCATAATACCAACCATTGCAAATATAAGTCAATATCCACAATGTCAATTATTCATAAACGTACATAGCAATGACACATCACAAATTTAAATGGTTTAACAACAAAACAAAGTTATCTTTATCTACCCCCTCCATTAGCCAAACAATTGTTGTACAATTGTATTGCAAATGTATCTGTTAAAATCCACCTACTCTCCACCTACTCTCCACCTACTTCACCCACTTAAACCTACTCCACTAAACCTAACCCACTACACCACTATACTCTCCACCTACTTCACCCACTTAAACCTACTCCACTAAACCTAACCCACTAAATCCACATACTCTCCACCTACTTCACCCACTTAAACCCACCACCACCACCTTTCTTGCCTGCATTTCCATTATTGTTACCATTCTTGTTCTGAGCTCCACCACCATTTTTGCCATCTGATTGATGGCCACCGCCATTCTTCCCACCACCATTCTTTCCAGATGATCCACCTCCACCACCACCACCACCACCACCACCTTGATTTTGATTCCCACCACCACCACCTTTCTTTCCATTCTTTCCATCATTCACCTGAACAGGTATATTTCCACCACCACCACCACCCTTTTTCCCATTTCCTCCATTTCCACCACCGCCGCCACCACTCTTGGCCTGAGCCAGAGCATTCATAAGCTGTGGATGCTGCTGGCCATTCATCATCATCATCATGTTAGGCATCTGCTGACCATTAGCCATCATCATGGGTTGTGGTTTCATCTTGTTAAGAGGATGATGGGGTGCACCATCCATCATCTCATCATCCAAATCATCATCATCATCAACGTCTTCGTCATCAAAATTCATCATCACTCATCAGATCATCATCTTCAGGCAAGTTGAACTTCATAGCCTTATGTTGATTCTGGTCCTTGGTATTATTTGTGAAGGGCAGTTTCATGCTGACTCCTCACCGGTGACCAAACTCACTCCGATCACCGCCAATAACCACCACAAGAGCAGCCGCAGAAGCACCGCGCCGCTGCCACCAGTGTGCCACCGCAATCTCCAGTTCCATCTCCACAGCTCCGCTTCCATCTCCACAGCAGTGCATGTACCTTATGCACCGTAATCTCCAGTTCCATCTCCACAGCAGTGCATGTACCTTATGCCTACGGATTTGCAATTATTTTGCTCACGGTTCTCGTTAAAATTGCAACTTATCCCCTGACAAAGAAACAAGTTGAATCAACACTGGCAATGCAAAACCTTCAACCAAAGCTCAAAGCGATCCAAGAAAGATATAAGGGAAATCCGGAGAGAATACAACTCTCTCCATCCGCGGCCCCTCTCACTCCCTCGGTGATACCACCCACGGCTGCAATTCCACTGGACCTCATTTTAATCCATGAACTGATCTGGGATTTTCCCTTTCTCCAATTATTTTAGATTTCTCCTTATTTTACAATTATTCATTTTTCATACTATTTTTCTATTATTTTGCTCACGGTTCTCGTTAAAATTGCAACTTATCCCCTGACAAAGAAACAAGTTGAATCAACACTGGCACTGCAAAACCTTCAACCAAAGCTCAAAGCGATCCAAGAAAGATATAAGGGAAATCCGGAGAGAATACAACTCTCTCCATCCGCGGCCCCTCTCACTCCCTCGGTGATACCACCCACGGCTGCAATACCACTGGACCTCATTTTAATCCATGAACTGATCTGGGATTTTCCCTTTCTCTTCATCCAACTGTCCACCAACTTTTGTCCCCCTCTTTTCCTTTCTTTTATTTTATTATTGTCCACCCAGTCTTCTTTTCTTTAAACCCAATGCCTCTCACATGTTTTCATCCACCAGCTTTAACCCCTCATCATGTACCCCCTTTTCACTTTCCAATCTCCCGAGACACCTGTTTTTTTTTATTATTACTCTATTCTTATTATTATTATTATTATTATTAAAAAAAATAAAAATAAAAATAAAAATAAAAATAAAAAAAAATCCCAAACCCATTGCAGGTTTTCACAACACCGTGGGCCACGAAACCTTTTTTTGTTATTTTATTTCTTTGCAAAAAAAAAAAAAAGAGTGGTTGGCTGAAATGAACCAACACTATGTACTCCTCAGCCGAAGTAAGTGTATGG